TTTGGTATGAATATCTCTAAGTATGAAGATCTCCAAGTATGACTAGCTGTGTGTATAGCTATTTGTCTGATGTAAACTTTTATTTTGGTTAAGGGAATAGAAATGTTACCGAGTGCCAAAATTTTTATATTTTGAAAGGCAACAAAGTTGCCAGCACATGCCAGACAACCATAGGTTTGAACTTTAAACTTTTAAAGTTATTTAACAAAATTAGAAGTTTTGTTTACTTGGCAACCCTTTCGATATATTTCTTACATTTGCCTGTTTACTTAGTGTTATTAGTCCCCATGTAATTTGAAGTCTACTATTTGGTTTAGTTATGTATTATTTTAAAAAATCTTAAGAATTTTCATAACATTTTTAACATACTTAAGTGCTACAGACCAAAATGTACTAGAAGATTCTATGTTTCTTAATTAATATGTAAGTTAAATTTGTAATAGAAATTCCAGGAAATTACTAAGAGTATTTTCAACAAAATGTACAACATTAGTTAATTCTTTTCTGGCTCAGTTGTAGTTAAGTTCTAGTTCGTTAGCAGCTCAGTTCTAGTTTACTTAGAATTTCAGTTCTAGTTGTTCTAGTTCTGTTCTAGTTCTGTTCTAGTTCTGTTCTAGTTCTGTTCTAGTCTGTTCTAGTTCTGTTCTAGTTCGTTCTAGTTCTGTTCTAGTTCTGTTCTAGTTCTGTTCTAGTTCTGTTCTAGTTATGTTCTAGTTCTGTTCTAGTTCTGTTCTAGTTCTGTTCTAGTTCTGTTTAGTTCTGTTCTAGTTCTGTTCTAGTTCTGTTCTAGTTCTGTTCTAGTTCTGTTCTAGTTCTGTTCTAGTTCTGTTCTAGTTCTGTTCTAGTTCTGTTCTAGTTCTGTTCTAGTTCTGTTCTAGTTCTGTTCTAGTTCTGTTCTAGTTCTGTTCTAGTTCTGTTCTAGTTCTGTTCTAGTTCTGTTCTAGTTCTGTTCTAGTTCTGTTCTAGTTCTGTTCTAGTTCTGTTCTAGTTCTGTTCTAGTTCTGTTCTAGTTCTGTTCTAGTTCTGTTCTAGTTCTGTTCTAGTTCTGTTCTAGTTCTTATAGTCTGTTCTAGTTCTGTTCTAGTTCTGTTCTAGTTCTGTTCTAGTTCTGTTCTAGTTCTGTTCTAGTTCTGTTCTAGTTCTGTTCTAGTTCTGTTCTAGTATCTGTTCTAGTTCTGTTCTAGTTCTGTTCTAGTTCTGTTCTAGTTCTGTTCTAGTTCTGTTCTAGATTCTGTTCTAGTTCTGTTCTAGTGTCTGTTCTAGTTCTTTCTAGTTCGTCTAGTTCTGTTCTAGTTCGTTCTAGTTCTGTTCTAGTTCTGTTCTAGTTCTGTTCTGTTCTGTTCTAGTTCTGTTCTAGTTCTGTTCTAGTTCTGTTCTAGTTCTGTTCTAAGTTCTGTTCTGTTTCTAGTTCTGTTCTAGTTCTGTTCTAGTTCTGTTCTAGTTCTGTTCTAGTTCTGTTCTAGTTCTGGTTCTAGTTCTGTTCTAGTTCTGTTCTAGTTCTGTTCTAGTTCTGTTCTAGTTTCTAGTTCTGTTCTAGTTCTGTTCTAGTTCTGTTCTAGTCTTTCTGTTCTGTTCTAGTTCTGTTCTAGCTCACTCCTAGCTCTCTTTTAGTTATGTTCTGTTTTATCTCTCTTTTAGTTCTGTGTCTAGTTTCCGTTTTTGTGCTGTTTTTGTTCTGTTCTTGTCTGCTCATTTCCGTCGAAATTCTTATTATTAATTTGTGTAAAATATCCAGCCTAATATCAACAAAATATTTCATTAATATCTATATGAGAAATCTAAAATTATAGCAACATTATTAAAACATATTCTTATTGACATATGAAACACAAACAAGTACTTGTTATCAAAATTTCAACAGACCTTGTTCTTAAACATACTGAATTCAAATGCACAATGTAAAAGAGATATGCTTATAATAGTGTGCGGCGTACGAAACTTCAGGGGTCAAAAATTAAATTAATTAAATTAAAATTAACCTTAATACTACCTCTGTCTTAGCTCCATCTATATTTTACGTTAATTGTTTAAGCCTTCAAAAGCTATAAATTTATGTCTGATAGATTATAAAATTGTTGGAAGTATGTTCTCTTTGTGCCGACCATTAGTTTACAACATACCCTTTTACAGATAATATTAATAATGATTCATAAATTCCCAAAACGAAAAGGAAAATATTGTCTAGTCAGTCAAAAACCAAAAGCTAAAACTAACAAAGGCGTGTCTTGTCTCCTTGGTAAGTTAAAGGATAGTACTTCCAGACTCATATTAGTGTAAACACATACATTAAGCTTAAAGTTAAGGTATGTATGTGTATGAACATTAGTACCTTTATAGTTACGTCTAACTGGAGTGTTATTAAAAACAAGGAGCAGTGAGTGTTGCTGTTACTATTTGCTATTATTCTTAGTTTTGTTGTTGAAATTCCACAAAAAACAAACAATACTAAGTCAACAAATAAACTTTATACTATAAAAGGGGAAAAGATGGACAGAAGGAGAACAGACCAGACAGGTTATGTGGGGAGACAGTAAATATTTGGATGAAATTTATTTGATTAAATTTTATTTTAATTTTCAAGAAAAATTAAGTAGAAACAATTTTGGTTGAAAATTGTAAACATAAAATTATGTTTTATTTCCTTTGTATTTTGCTGTGGGTATACTTCCCCTCTTAAAGTCATCATTATATTATTAATAGTTATATTAAATTACCTTAAAGCATAGAGGAAGCAAACATTTTTTCTCAATTACTTAGAGAAAATATATTAGAAGAGTTATACTATTAGAAAAATAATAAAATGAATATTATAGAAAAGTTGCGTTTATGGGAAATAATTATAAAAAATCATTAACATCATGATAGAGCAGAATAAACAAATTTAGGTTTAAGGAATTTTAGTTAGAAAAGAGGTTATTTAAAGAAATTTTTCCCACAAAAGTGAACAAGGGGGTAAATGAGGCCAAAACTCAGACATTGAAATGTCTACCTGAATAAACTGAACTATGCAATAGACTATAGACTAGACTATAGAATTGACTACAGAATAGACTATAGACTAGACTATAGACTAGACTATAGACTAGACTATAGACTATACATAGACTAGACTAGACTATAGACTAGACTATAGACTAGACTATAGACTAGACTATAGACTAGACTATAGACTAGACTATAGACTAGACTATAGACTAGACTATAGACAAGACTATAGACTAGACTATAGAATAGACTATAGACTAGACTATAGACTAGACTATAGACTAGACTATAGACTAGACTATAGACTAGACTATAGACTAGACTATAGACTAGACTATAGACTAGACTATAGACTAGACTATAGACTAGACTATAGACTAGACTATAGACTAGACTATAGACTAGACTATAGAATAGACTATAGACTAGACTATAGACTAGACTATAGACTAGATTATAGACTAGACTATAGACTATACTATAGACTAGACTATAGACTATACTATAGACTAGACTAGACTAGACTATAGACTAGACTATAGACTAGACTATAGACTAGACTATAGACTAGACTATAGACTAGACTATAGACTAGACTATAGACTAGACTATAGACTAGACTATAGACTAGACTATAGACTAGACTAAGACAAGACTATAGACTAGTCTATAAAACAGACTATAGACTAGACTATAGACTAGACTATAGACTAGACTAGACTATAGACTAGACTAGACTATAGACTAGACTATAGACTAGACTATAGACTAGACTATAGACTAGACTATAGACTAGACTATAGACTAGACTATAGACTAGACTATAGACTAGACTATAGACTAGACTATAGACTAGACTATAGACTAGACTATAGACTAGACTTTAGACTAGACTATAGACTAGACTATAGACTAGATTATAGACTAGACTATAGACTAGACTATAGACTAGACTATAGACTAGACTATAGACTAGACTATAGACTAGACTATAGACTAGACTATAGACTAGACTATAGACTAGACTAGATAGACTAGACTATAGACTAGACTATAGACTAGACTATAGACTAGACTAGACTATAGACTAGACTATAGACTAGACTATAGACTAGACTATAGACTAGACTATAGACTAGACTATAGACTAGACTATAGACTAGACTATAGACTAGACAATAGACTAGACAATAGACTATACTATAGACTAGACTATAGACTAGACTATAGACTAGACTATAGACTAGACTATAGACTAGACTATAGACTAGGCTATAGACTAGACTATAGACTAGACTATAGATTAGACTATAAACTAGACTATAGACTGTACTATAGATTAGACTATGGTCTAAAGACTAGACTATGCACTTGACTATAGACAGGACTATAGACTAGACTATAAACTAGACTATAGACTGTACTATAGATTAGACTATGGTCTAAAGACTAGACTATGCACTTGACTATAGACAGGACTATAGACTAGACTATAAACTAAACTATAGACTGGACTGTAGGCTAGACTATAGTCCTTAAACTATACTATAGTCTATAGACTAGACTATACTCCTTAAACTATACTATAGTCTAGACTAAAGACTATTGACTAGACTATAGAGTAGGCGATGGATTTGACTAAAGACTAGACAAGACTATAGACTATACCATAGACTGATATTTTTCTTCTGCTAGTAATTTTATGTATCTTTCGCTTACAAATGGTTAATTTGTTTATAAGCCTTAACAGGAAATTTATTTTTTTTGCTTAATTGCTTAAGTTAAGGTGGTCACTGTGATGTTAGCTATACAATAAAAATGACTTAACAAAAAAATGTTTAATAAAACCTTAATAGGCTTTTTTTATGGCTCAAAACATTAACTTGCCTTAATAAAATAACACAAATAAATGTTAACAACAATAATGATTTATAATCATTACAAAAAAATATTTCTAACAAATTATGATTAATTACATAATTTTCTTAACAACCCTCTTGCTATTCTATTTACAGTCCAATGATTATACATATCAAAATACTTTGGGTAGACGTTCGACATTGGGTGCCTACTATCACATGAACAATCAACCCTCCTACAGCAATGATCACAGTATAAATAATCAATATGGCTACAATACCTGGGGTATATGGCGAGATGGTCGCAATTTGGCTCCCTCTACATTTTCGGCTAAACCCCATGCTCACTATCAAAAGACTAGATCTTTTTCTATTATCTTGACTACAGCAGCTTTTATAGTTTTACTAGCGGTCATATCAATAGCGGGTTTGGCTTTCTATTTTAGTTCCATTAAAGGCAATATGGAAGATCGTGAGTTTTATTTTTTTTACTTTTTTTTAATAAAAGCTAAATTATTTTATATTTTCAGCTGTTTTGGGTTTTGAGGGCTCTTTTCGTATAGCCAAGGGCGATCTATTTTCCACCGGCTTGAAATACAATCATACCACCTCGTATAAACAAAAAATTGAATTTTATAAAAGATTTGTGGAAAGAGCTTTAACGGATCAGGGTTTACAGCCTTTGCGTACGGATGTTTGGGGCTTTGGTGAGGGTCCCTTGATCAAGGTTAATTTTAGAACATTTTTTGATGTGCGAAAATTGCCGCAGTAAGTTTTTCAAATAGATTTTCTTATACAACTATGTTGACTAAATAATCTTTAATCCTAGAAATATTCATAATGTTGAGGAATTTATAAAAGAAGCCATTTTTCTGGAAACCACCGCTGTGAAGTCTTTGTATAGATCTTTGCGCATAGATGGAGATTCGGTGGAAATTAAACGTATTTTGGATGAGCAAGTGGTTAAATCGGCATCACTGTTTAAAGATGCAGTAAGTATTTAAAAGCTTTTGATGAACTAGACTTAGGACTAGTCTAATCCTTTTCCATTCCAGCATACGGTGCCCACCAGTCAAACTCAACTGGAGAAGAGATTAATGAAAAAGACCGGCAATCCACCAGCACTCATCAATAAACCCTCTTCCAGTTCCAGTTCCAGCAAGGGACGTACTCCGTCCAAACCCCACTCAGCCGATGATGAACCAGATGTAGATGTTGAAAATGCTCCCGTTATACAAGGATCCTTTGAAGGATCATTTGAGATAACAAAAACCGATGCTGATATTGCACTAAAGAAAACTACTCCTACTAGAGGTCACACTATGGGTACTTTAGCGCCTAAGGCGGTAACTCCCTATGCTTTGAGAGTAAAGCCCAAGAAGCCAGGTATTGAGAAATTGACAACTATAGTGCCACAACAACAAACTGTTACAAGTACTAGGGGCACTACAACCTCAACGACGACTACAACTACTACAACGACAAGCACCACCACTACAACGACGCCCAAACCCACTACGACTACTAAGAGAACAACTACCACAACAACGACCACTACACCTAGGCCTACTACTACCACAAGCACAACTACCACTACAACACCTGCCACCACCACGACAACTCCTTCTACGACTACAACAACTACTAGAAAGCCTACAACAACAACCACTTTAGCGTCTACTACTACTCCTCACAGTCTACCTCCAGTGCCACCCATGAATCATCAAAATTATCCCACACATACCTCACCTTCCTCTCCCTCACACTCTTTGCCACAATTAGATCAAAGTCTGTTCACTTCCGTGCCCGTATTGGACACCCAACCCTGGCGCCCTATACACCGTGAAGTGCCCGAATTCTTACCTGGACCACCACCTTCATTCCCCACCAAAACCCTACCCACTTTACAAATGCCTACCATGTCTACATCTTTACCTTTAATGCCACCAGTGGGTCCTGTCATAAATGAGGAACCACCACGTCGACGTATAGATGAAATAGAATTACCATTTTTGCCTGAGGAACCCAGACCTCCGGTGCCGATGCTGGAACCTTTCAATGCCGGAAAACCTATTATGGATTCTTATAAACCTAATTTCTATGGTCCCGGCTTTAGGAAACCCGATTCCACTATGGATATGAAAAATTCCCAGGAATTAATGTTTTATCATAGTTTTGGTAATCCCGTTTTTATGCCCGGCTCTGAAGGTATTGAACGTTTGGGAGCTGGTGCCTCGGTGCAGCCACATCCTCTGCCAGTGCCTTTAATCGATGAGGTAGTCATACCACCATTTAAACCTTTGAAACCGGGTTTGGCGGCTAAGAACCGCTGGCATTTGACATGGCTGCTGACAGTGAGAAATTCGAACACTTGGGGGATGGTGTTATAGCCAAGAAACAGGAAAATACCACCGTGGTGCCAGAGAGTACAGTGAGTTCAATGGAAAGTAGTAGCAAACAGGAAAACACGGAGAAGGATGCATCATCTACCCCAAAGCCCAACAGTGAAGATGCGATTGATACATCTTCGGCCACTTCGGAATTGGCAGATAAGATAGGCGAATTCTTTATGGATCTTTTGGATTTACCTAAAGATGAGGTAGCTAAAAACAAGCAACAACCTTTGGAGTCCAGAATAGAACCAGAGGAAGAGGAAAGTGCTACAGAAACCAGCAGTAAAGAAGATGTTGAGGATGTGAGTGATACTACCTTAAGATTTGTGGCAGATGAGTCCACCGAGTCCAGTACAGCGGAAGTAATCTCTAGCCCTACCTTAACTACAAGCACGTCCACATCCTCCACCACCAGCAAACCCAATTTCTTAAATCTTAAGGAATTAATCTTGCAAAGAAACCAGTTGAATAATCAAAACTTAAAGAAATCCAGCAGTGAAAGTTATCGTAATACTTCTAGAGTAACAAGCACCACTACCATCAGCACCACTGCCAAAACGACTACTACCACTAGGCCTCCGATGACCTCAACGACTAAACATTATAAAATCAAACCCTCTCAAAGTAAACCACCCACTATGTTGGATGATTCCAATCTTTTCCCCTCACATTCTAAATGGGAGTTTGTCAACAACTCGGCAGGCTCTCAAGCTGGTCACACCGGCAACATGCGTAAAGTTTTCAATACCACTTTGCAAGCCTGGGTCTCAGAGGATGTTGAAAAACTGAGAATTTCACTTTAAACGATTTGAAGACGAAAATCAATAATGCCACTAACATACAAGATATCTCGCTAATCTTTGATACTTTGGCCTCTAAACTGGGCATAACACCCAGTGTACCCACCAAAGTGCCACCATTTTCCTACAACAAACTAAAGCAAACACAAAATAATGAAATGAGGTCAAGGCCTACAACCACCACAACTACTAGAGCTACCACAACACCCCGAACCACAACCACTACTCGAGCTACTACCGCAAGCACAAAAATGGACTCTTCTGATAAAACCACAGCCTCCACTACTCCAACACCTTATGGTGACTTGGTATTCGAAAGAAGAGAACCTTTTATAAAACCCATGTCTAGTTTTATTGACGATTCCTCTGCCGAAGGCGTGGGCGCCGCTATACCTGTAGTGGGCGAGGCGGAAGTTGAAGTTATTGATCCCACTAAATATGAAGAAATGTTAAGATCCTCACAATTTGCTGATTCAACAACCACAGAAACTACACCAAAACTGGTGACCCTATTACCCGTCAGATCTAATTCGGGCATTAGGACCTATAAACCTTTCACAGAATCGGCTAGAAGTAACTCTGACTCACCCAGTACTTTATCCAGCATAGCTTCCTCAACATCTTCCTCATCAGTTGAGTCCGATTCAGCAGCCAGCTCTCCAGCTGTAACTGTATCAGTACAGTCGTCTTCCTCATCATCCTCCTCAACATCTACAGCTGCGAGAAAAAAGTCAGGTGCTGTAGTGAGTAAAACGAATTCTTCTGCCACAAGATCGGGTATAACACGAAGAAAGAATGCCAATCAAAGTAGAAGATTTCCTCCTCCCGAAGCGGTTATAAGAGGTGGTCTAAAAGTAACGGTTTAAATAAGTAGGTCGAGAAAAAAGTAGAGCTTGAAGAGTAGTAGGAATAGGACAGGGTGTTTTTGTTTAATGAAAAGTGATTTATTGATTCGAGATTAGTTATAAGTTTATCCGAAATACAATGTGCTGAGAATTATTATGTTTAGAAATTAAATTAAATCTAAGTAATTCTTCCTATTTAAGTTCATTTTCAACTTTTTTTTATGGTGAAAAATGTTTTTTTTATTTAACACACAAACGCAGCAATTCTATCCATAGAGCTCCGCTTAGATGTAGTTCAGTTCTAGATCAGTTCTAGTTCAGTTCTAGTTCAGTTCTAGTTCAGTTCTAGTTCAGTTCTAGTTCAGTTCTAGTTCAGTTCTAGTTCAGTTCTAGTTCAGTTCTAGTTCAGTTCTAGTTCAGTTCTAGTTCAGTTCTAGTTCAGTTCTAGTTCAGTTCTAGTTCAGTTCTAGTTCAGTTCTAGTTCAGTTCTAGTTCAGTTCTAGTTCAGTTCTAGTTCAGTTCTAGTCGTTCTAGTCAGTTCTAGTTCAGTTCTAGTTCAGTTCTAGTTCAGTTCTAGTTCAGTAGTTCTAGTTCAGTTCTAGTTCAGTTCTAGTTCAGTTCTAGTTCAGTTCTAGTTCAGTTCTAGTTCAGTTCTAGTTCAGTTCTAGTTCAGTTCTAGTCAGTCTAGTCAGTTCTAGTTCAGTTCTAGTTTCAGTTCTAGTTCAGTTCTAGTTCAGTTCTAGTTCAGTTCTAGTTCAGTTCTAGTTCAGTTCTAGTTCAGTTCTAGTTCAGTTCTAGTTCAGTTCTAGTTCAGTTCTAGTTCAGTTCTAGTTCAGTTCTAGTTCAGTTCTAGTTCAGTTCTAGTTCAGTTCTAGTCTAGTTCAGTTCTAGTTCAGTTCTAGTTCAGTTCTAGTTCAGTTCTAGTTCAGTTCTAGTTCAGTTCTAGTTCAGTTCTAGTTCAGTTCTAGTTCAGTTCTAGTTCAGTTCTAGTTCAGTTCTAGTTCAGTTCTAGTTCAGTTCTAGTTCAGTTCTAGTTCAGTTCTAGTTCAGTTCTAGTTCAGTTCTAGTTCAGTTCTAGTTCAGTTCTAGTTCAGTTCTAGTTCAGTTCTAGTTCAGTTCTAGTTCAGTTCTAGTTCAGTTCTAGTTCAGTTCTAGTTCAGTTCTAGTTCAGTTCTAGTTCAGTTCTAGTTCAGTTCTAGTTCAGTTCTAGTTCAGTTCTAGTTCAGTTCTAGTTCAGTTCTAGTTCAGTTCTAGTTCAGTTCTAGTTCAGTTCTAGTTCAGTTCTAGTTCAGTTCTAGTTCAGTTCTAGTTCTGTTCTAGTTCTGTTCTAGTTCTGTTCTAGTTCAGTTCTAGTTCTGCTCTAGTTCTGTTCTAGTTCTGTTTCTAGTTCTGTGCTAGTTTCTGTTCTAGTTCTGCGTCTAGTTCTGTTCGAGTTCGGTTCTAGTTCTGTTCTAGTTCTGTTCTAGGTCTGTTCTAGTTCTGTTCTAGTTCTGTTCTAGTTCTGTTCTAGTTCTGTTCTAGTTCTGTTCTAGTTCTGTTCTAGTTCTGTTCTAGTTCTGTTCTAGTTCTGTTTCTAGTTCTGTTCTAGTTCTGTTCTAGTTCGGTTCTAGTTCTGTTCTAGTTCTAGTTCTAGTTCTAGTTTCTAGTTCTAGTTCTGTTCTAGTTCTGTTCTAGTTCTGTTCTAGTTCTGTTCTAGTTCTGTTCTAGTTCGGTTTCTAGTCTGTTCTAGTTCTGTTCTAGTTCTGTTCTAGTTTCTGTTCTAGTTCTGTTCTAGTTCTGTTCTAGTGCTGTCTAGTTCTGTTCTAGTTCGGTTCTAGTTCTGTTCTAGTTCTGTTCTAGTTCTGTTCTAGTTCTGTTCTAGTTTCTGTTCTAGTTCTGTTCTAGTTCTTGTTCTAGTTCTGTTCTAGTTCTGTTCTAGTTCTGTTCTAGTTCTGTTCTAGTTCTGTTCTAGTTTCTGTTTTCTTAGTTCTGTTCTAGTTTCTGTTCTAGTTCTGTTCTAGTTCTGTTCTAGTCTGTTCTAGTTCTGTTCTAGTTCTGTTCTAGTTCTGTTCTAGTTCTGTTCTAGTTCTGTTCTAGTTCTGTTCTAGTCTATTCGAGTTCTAGTCTGTTCTAGTTCTGTTCTAGTTCTGTCTCTAGTTCGCTTCTAGTTCTGTTCTAGTTCTGTTCTAGTTCATTCTAGTTCTGCTCTAGTTTTGTTCTAGTTCTGTTCTAGTTCTGCTCTAGTTCGGCTCTAGTTTTTCTAGTTCTGTTCTATTCTGTTCTAGTTCTGTTCTAGTTCTGTTCTAGTTCAGTTCTAGTTCAGTTCTATTCAGTTCTAGTTCATTCTAGTTCAGTTCTAGTTCAGTTCTAGTTCAGTTCTAGTTCAGTTCTAGTTCAGTTCTAGTTCAGTTCGAGTTCAGTTCTAGTTCAGTTCTAGTTCAGTTCTAGTTCAGTCTAGTTCGTCTGGTTCAGTTCTAGTTCAGTTCTAGTTCAGTTCTAGTTCAGTTCTAGTTCAGTTCTAGTTCAGTTCTAGTTCAGTTCTAGTTCAGTTCTAGTTCAGTTCTAGTTCAGTTCTAGTTCATTCTAGTTCAGTTCTAGTTCAGTTCTAGTTCAGTTCTAGTTCAGTTCTAGTTCATTTCTAGTCAGTTCTAGTTCAGTTCTAGTTCAGTTCTAGTTCAGTTCTAGTTCAGTTCTAGTTCAGTTCTAGTTCAGTTCTAGTTCAGTTCTAGTTCAGTTCTAGTTCAGTTCTAGTTCAGTTCTAGTTCAGTTCTAGTTCAGTTTCTAGTTCAGTTCTAGTTCAGTTTCTAGTTCAGTTTCTAGTTCAGTTCTAGTTCAGTTCTAGTTCAGTTCTAGTTCAGTTCTAGTTCAGTTCTAGTTCAGTTCTAGTTCAGTTCTAGTTCAGTTCTAGTTCAGTTCTAGTTCAGTTCTAGTTCAGTTCTCAGTTCTAGTTCATTTCTAGTTCATTTTCAGTTCTAAGTTCTGTTCTAGTTCTGTTCTAGTTCTGTTCTAGTTCAGTTCTAGTTCTGCTCTAGTTCAGTTCTAGTTCTGCTCTAGTTCTGTTCTAGTTCTGTTCTAGTTCTGTTCTAGTTCTGTTCTAGTTCTGTTCTAGTTCTGTTCTAGTTTCTGTTCTAGTTCTGTTCTAGTTCTGTTCTAGTTCTGTTCTAGTTCTGTTCTAGTTCTGTTCTAGTTCTGTTCTAGTTCTGTTCTAGTTTTCTGTTCTAGTTCTAGTTCTGTTCTAGTTCTGTCTGTTCTGTTCTAGTTCTGTTCTAGTTCTGTTCTAGTTCTGTTCTAGTTCTGTTCTAGTTCAGTTCTAGTTCGTTCTAGTTCAGTTCTGTCTAGTTCTGTTCTAGTTCAGTTCGTTCTAGTTCTGTTCTAGTTCTGTTCTAGTTCTGTTCTAGTTCTGTTCTAGTTCTGTTCTAGTTCTGTTCTAGTTCTGTTCTAGTTCTGTTCTAGTTCTGTTCTAGTTCTGTTCTAGTTTCTGTTCTAGTTTGTTCTAGTTCTGTTCTAGTTCTGTTCTAGTTCTGTTCTAGTTCTGTTCTAGTTCTGTTCTAGTTCTGTTCTAGTTCTGTTCTAGTTCTGTTCTAGTTCTGTTCTAGTTCTGTTCTAGTTCTGTTCTAGTTCTGTTCTAGTTCTGTTCTAGTTCTGTTCTAGTTCTGTTCTAGTTCTGTTCTAGTTCTGTTCTAGTTCTGTTCTAGTTCTGTTCGTTACTAAGTTTCTGTTCTAGTTCGGTTCTAGTTCTGTTCTAGTTCTAGTTCTAGTTTCTAGTTCTAGGGTCTAGTTCTCTTCTAGTTCTGTTCTAGTTCAGTTCTAGTTCTGCTTCTAGTTTTGTTCTAGTTCTGTTCTAGTTCTGCTCTAGTTCTGCTAGGTTTTGTTCTAGTTCTGTTCTAGTTCTGTTCTAGTTCTGTTCTAGTTCTGTTCTAGTTCTGTTCTAGTTCTGTTCTAGTTCTGTTCTAGTTCTGTTCTAGTTCTGTTCTAGTTCTGTTCTAGTTCTGTTCTAGTTCTGTTCTAGTTCTGTTCTAGTTCTGTTCTAGTTTGTTCTAGTTCTGTTCTAGTTCTGTTCTAGTTCTGTTCTAGTTCTGTTCTAGTTCTGTTCTAGTTCTGTTCTAGTTCTGTTCTAGTTCTGTTCTAGTTCTGTTCTAGTTCTGTTCTAGTTCTGTTCTAGTTCTGTTCTAGTTCTGTTCTAGTTCTGTTCTAGTTCTGTTCTAGTTCTTTTCTAGTTCTGTTCTAGTTCTGTTCTAGTTCTGTTCTAGTTCTGTTCTAGTTCTGTTCTAGTTTCTGTTCTAGTTCTGTTCTAGTTCTGTTCTAGTTCTGTTCTAGTTCTGTTCTAGTTCTGTTCTAGTTCTGTTCTAGTTCTGTTCTAGTTCTGTTCTAGTTTTGTTCTAGTTCTGTTCTAGTTCTGTTCTAGTTCTGTTCTAGTTCTGTTCTAGTTCTGTTCTAGTTCTCTTCTAGTTCTGTTCTAGTTCTGTTCTAGTTTCTGTTCTAGTTCTGTTCTAGTTCTGTTCTAGTTCTGTTCTAGTTCTGTTCTAGTTCTGTTCTAGTTCTGTTCTAGTTCTGTTCTAGTTCTGTTCTAGTTCTGTTCTAGTTTCTGTTCTAGTTCTGTTCTAGTTCTGTTCTAGTTCTGTTCTAGTTCTGTTCTAGTTCTGTTCTAGTTCTGTTCTAGTTCTGTTCTAGTTCTGTTCTAGTTCTGTTCTAGTTCTGTTCTAGTTCTGTTCTAGTTCTGTTCTAGTTCTGTTCTAGTTCTGTTCTAGTTCTGTTCTAGTTCTGTTCTAGTTCTGTTCTAGTTCTGTTCTAGTTCTGTTCTAGTTCTGTTCTAGTTCTGTTCTAGTTCTGTTCTAGTTCTGTTCTAGTTCTGTTCTAGTTCTGTTCTAGTTCTGTTCTAGTTCTGTTCTAGTTCTGTTCTAGTTCTGTTCTAGTTCTGTTCTAGTTCTGTTCTAGTTCTGTTCTAGTTCTGTTCTAGTTTGTTCTAGTTCTGTTCTAGTTCTGTTCTAGTTCTGTTCTAGTTCTGTTCTAGTTCTGTTCTAGTTCTGTTCTAGTTCTGTTCTAGTTCTGTTCTAGTTCTGTTCTAGTTCTGTTCTAGTTCTGTTCTAGTTCTGTTCTAGTTCTGTTCTAGTTCTGTTCTAGTTCTGTTCTAGTTCTGTTCTAGTTCTGTTCTAGTTTCTGTTCTAGTTCTGTTCTAGTTCTGTTCTAGTTCTGTTCTAGTTCTGTTCTAGTTCTGTTCTAGTTCTGTTCTAGTTCTGTTCTAGTTCTGTTCTAGTTCTAGTTCTAGTTCTAGTTCTAGTTTCTGTTCGTTTCTGTTCTAG